TGCAGCATGCCCTCTCATTTCCAAAATCATTTTCGAATAGACATCCTCTTCCCAAAATGTTGTATTACATTCTTTTGTGAGGGTACTTTTCTATGGTGCTATTTCAGTTCATGGACAGCAAACACTTTGATTTTAAATCACTATTTAGGCACTGAATATTCTGTCCCTCTTGCTCCTTTTAGACTAGTGGTCACCAATCCATTGATTGTGATCGATTGGTAGATCTTGGAGCATCTGCCAGGCAATTGTGATCCTCAGGTAGGCTGCCTCTGCCTGGCCTCAGGCTGCTCCCGGAAGCAACCAGTTGGCTGAGTACAGGTAGTCTCTGCAGCCTCTGGCAATGCTGCCCCCACTCCCAGCACTGGGGTGCTACTTGAGCACATGGACAGAAGTGCAGCACATGGAGACCTTCTCCCTTTCCAGGGAACACACACATACGGTGCCTACACTCAGCCAGCTGGCATTTCCAGGAGTGGCGTGGGGCCGGGCAGAAGCATCTTGCCTGAGCCCTGCTGTACAGCTGACTGGGAGCTGCCTTCAATAAGTACCTCCCAGCTGCAGCCTGCACCCCTACTTCCTGTGCCAGCCTAAAGCTGGCACTCAAACTCCCTCTTAGAGCTCACATTCTTCACCCTGTCCTGCACCCAACCCTCTGCCCCATCCTGGAGCCGCCTCCTGCACCCAAATGCTCTGGATGTAGAGGGACTGAGAGGTGTAGGCTGTAGGAGCAAGTTTGGGTGCAAGAGGGAGCTCCAGTAGGATGGGGCACAATGCTTACCAGAGTTTGCTCTTCACACTCCTGCACCCCAACACTTTCCCCCTGCTCGAAGCTCCCTCCTGTCCCCCAGCCAGATGAAAGTGAGGGAGGAAGATGCAGTGGGTGGGGTTTTGGGGAAGGGCTGGGCCTTCAGGGAAAAGCTGGGGTAGATCCTGGGTTGCCTTAAATTAAAAAGAAAAGTGATTTGGCCCTAAAAAGGTTGGAGACCATTGTTTTAAATGCTCTTAATAGAGGCTAGCTGATGATTTTGGCTACTTGTTTTCTCAGCCCATCCATAATCTGAATTTGAAGGGTGCCGCTTAATACAACACCGTTCATAAGATCACAAGAACATTTACGACTATAATTAAAACAGAAGAAATTGTTAAAGAATTGTTTATATTCACAAGGTCATTTATTTTTATGAGAGACTTCAGTAAGAAAAACAGCCTTTGAAATTGGCAGTAATCTGTTTTCTTGGGCTTGTCTGATCTCCTTTTACGGAATTGTAAAGATATGAGAGTTCTGGTCATCAGTGACTTTTGCCAAAGTACGTTTTGTGAACTTCCTGACATGCAGACTTTGTATACTTTCAAATAAATATTGCCCTTGTAGAACGTACTGGCATGAAATAAATTGTTATGCCTGGGTGCCCACAGTTCTGTTTCTTTATTTTTTAAGAAATGGACAGACCTAGCTGTGGAGATAGTCTCTGACAGGGCTTTCAGACCAAGCATTAACATGCAGGTTTGTCATTGTAAAGTGTGAGGTACCCTTTTTTCCCTCCCTTTTGGCATCTTATTTTGGCTCAGCTATTCTGACAACCATTTTGAAGTAAAAAGTGGAATGTGTTTTCTGTCACTTCAGTCATATTGTTCCTATTTTACACTTACACTTTAGTGAAAGAGCATCTGAACAGAGAGATGACTTTTCTTTGATATTTGTGCTGTAGAGAATTATGTGTTCTAAAATATGTATCCAAGAAAAACCCTTGAAACATGTTAGACTCAAAACCTATTGGGGAATAATCTTCTGTTAGTGTAGTAATTTAGAATGATAAGCCCTTGAATGATCTGGAAGATTTGACTGTGTTATTTCTATGTATATTGGGTGGAAGTCACTTTTGGATGGAAGGGCCAGGAACAGGAGGATTGGAGCAGTTCTACTATGCCAGTGGAGGGCAGCCAGGAAGCATAGCTCAGCATGCAGAGGAAGTATGGAAGCATGGCTACTGGATCTGTAGTTATGTGGATCCTTTGGCCGCATATCATTTAGGGGTCTCTGCATACATGGTGAGCATAGTACCACTTTTCCCACACTGACCTCTGTGTAACTTCCCATATGAAGCCAGTGTGTGTGTTGAAGGTGAGAACTGAATTTCATCCAGTAAGAATAAAACCTTTGCAGTGTTCTACCATTTCCCATTAATAACTTTCTGTATTATAGAGACAAGATACGTGAGGTAATATTGAACCAGCTTATATTGGTGAGAGAGACAAGTGAGTTGGTCTAATAAAAGATTATTATTGGACTTCACTCACTGTGGTCCCAGGATGTAAGAGAGACCACACAGCTATAGCAACCCTGTATTAGAAACACAGTCTAAGCAGATTAATGCTGCCCTACATCTCTGGATTGTATGTTGCCTGAAGACTCAAACAAGCTACAGTTCATTAAGAATACATCAAAGCAAATATAGTGACTTTCAGGTTTTTATTTTCCCACTGAATGCAAGTGGAATGTTTTCCTTGACTGTACAAACAAACTAATGTGAAACGTTTTCATGATATACTTTCCAAAACATTTTCAATTACTATTTAAAATATTCTCCTTCTTCCATTCTTTTTAACTTCAAAAATCCCTCCACTTTCCTTAGAAGTTATTGTTGCCCCTACCTTTATTCAGGAATTTTAAGTAACTCCTTTTGAGCTAAAGTCAAGTTTTGTCCCTATATTAACAACACTGGTACTGTAAAACCATCTGCAATTTTCCCATTATAATGTGAGTGCCTCCTTTGTAATGTTCGGCCTCTGCTGGACTAATGTGTACATGCGGAACAGATGTGACGTGGCAGGGGAAAAGACTTTGGAGTAAGTATTGGACAAACTAGGAAACAAAAGAGGAAATGTATGCAACATCTGTATATCCTTTCATGAGCAGTTTTGGTGTCCTGATGTACTCTTGTTTCATTTGCACTATATAAATATTACCGTGTCCACATGCATGCCGTATTTCCTATTGAATTTTCTGGTAATCAGTTACTTGTTTCTGTAAAATCAAACAGAGAGTCATGAACAACAATTTGCAACAGAAATAATTCTTTCTACATAAATCCTTTTTGATGAATACCAAGGCATCCTCAGAATAGTGTAAACTCAAAAAATAATTAATAGATGTTTTAAACTGAAGCTCAATAAAACTATGTAGCATATTGTTTGGGGAGAATTTTTATCCTTCTACATCAGCTATAATAAATTTCACAGGAATTTAAAGTTCCTAAAGTGACATTAGTCTCCTCACATGCAAATATTAACCTCAGCCATTGTCCCCTGCCCATTTTTTTTTATTTAAAACATGCTGCTTTTTCTCAATTAATAAGTTGTCACCAGCAATTTATGGCTCACCCCTATTTCAGGAAGCAAGGAAGTTATAAGAAAAATCAGTAACAAATGCAGATTTATTTAAAAATTTGTTCTGACCATATTACTAATTAAAAAAGCCATAAAATACAATCCTTTCTGATATTTCAGAGAATGTAAAGATGGTGGCATTTGGGTGTTTGTTTTATATTGCATTAATAAAATATTTAAAAGAGTTGGGGCCTAATCCAAAGCCTGTTCAAATCTTTGGGAGTCTTTCCACTGATTTCAATGGACTTTGGAGCAGGGGCCGCGCGGGGGGGCAGATAATAACAGCTGTAGTTCCTTTCAGGGTTACGGCAGCAAAAAGCCAATGAAATATTGGGTCTTTTGTATAGAGACATAATAGAAATAGAAGGGGCGAGTTTCTCTCTGTAGGACGCTGGTGAGAACACACGTGCACATCATGGGTTGTAACTGGAAGAAATTAAGAAGGAAAAATTGTAGAGTATTAGGAGAAACTTTCTGAGAGAGAAATCTGTTTCCGAATAATTTCCAAAGGACGTGGTGAAAGTTTCATCACTTCATATGAAAATCAAGACTGGACAACTTACTAGTACCTGTACTAAATGAAACAATGCTACATTAGCAGGGGAATGGACTAGATGACAAAAGAAATCTTTTTAATCTCTTATTTCTCTGACTGGGTAATGGCAAATGCACTACTGATGGGTGGTCATATACAGTAAACTTCTATTTGCTCTGCTGTTTGGCAATCACTGATGAGCTAAGCCCCTTCTGTTTATGTTTATTCCCATTCAACTCTTTGAACTACCCGTATATACTCCAGTGCTTCAGTCCTCTTGAACATGCTACTCTTACATGACTTTGGCAGGAGTTATATGAGCGTAAATACTGCGGGACTGTGAGCATGTTAGGGATAGATGAACACAGAACTTTCGTTATTGACTACAGATAGGAGGAATTCAAAGTGTTCTTTTAGACTGGTCACAGAGAAGCAGCCCATTCTGTTGCTCTAGGTTATCTACTAATCCTAAACTCAGACTTTATTTCATTAGATAGCTGGTTCAGATTTAAAATAAAATCATCCACTTGGTCGTAGTATATATATGTGTGTATAATACCTTTGTATACAGCTTTTGCATCTTTTCCACATGGTGAATGTTTATTTCTTGTAACTCAGGCTTTAGTATGCAGTACAAAGAACAGAGGAAATCTCAAGAAAAATCCACACTCCAATGCCACCCTTGAAATCCAAAATCCAACCTTTACATATTTATTGTGTTATAAAGATTGTGGCTAAAAAGGAAAAATAAGACTCTCTGACAGAATGGCTTTCAGCAGCAGAAGCAAATTAATTCATGCTAGCTTGAAAATATTTGCATGAAAAAAAATCATGCACGTTTGCACATGCAAACTGTTTATTCAGCAGTAGTTTTCCTTCCCCTGGAGCTCAGCAATTCTGATCTATCTCGGTGTCCTATTATACTCAGTCTAATAAGCCAGGGATTGCAGTTCCAGGAAAGATAGGTCAGCAGCTCAGAACTATGTAAACAATGACCTCTTCAGAAGTCAGACAAACAAGAAAC